TGCCAAGGACTTCACAAGTTATGCCATTTTCAAATCCGAAAATATTTCGAAATTTGAATACCTTGATTTTTGTAAAGCCCAAAATCCTGACAGCAGTCACCTCAAAGGGTCTCACATGATTGTGCATTGGCCGACAGTAGATCAGAAAACCAAACAATCAGAACACATACAACAATAACACAACTCTTTCTTGTTTTGTTAAGCACTTTGAGTTGCCTTGTGTATGAACTACTTTGATATATAAATAAACTGCCCTGTCTTAAATATTATTCCAGATCTGCTTTTTCTGATTGCTTTGTAAATATCTGTTGTTGTATGTGAACTTTGTTTTTTTTGCGTGATGTATGTTTTTCATGCTATATTCTTTGATTTACTGCATTGTATTATTGCATGACCATTGAAATCGCCAACACTGATAAGAGTATCAAACAGTTCAAAGACAAAAAAAATAAAAAATAGAACATATTAGTCCACAGCGGGGGCTAATATTGTTATCTTTGTAATTTTTTTTTTTTTATGCACAATGTCCCTTTCTAATAAACTATCTATCCATCCATTCATTTTCTACCCCTTAATCTATTTCTGTGTCGGGGGGTGACCGGATGGCTGCTCTATGACATGGCCTTGGTCTTTCAGCAGGGGCTTCAGGCAAAGTGGGGTTAAGTGTTTTGCCCTTGGACATAACAACAGTAGCTATCAGTGGGAGTCTGTGGAGAAGGCTTGAAACCACAACCTCCAGGATCAAATGCCAATGCTCTACCAACTGAGCCACCATAAAATTAAAAAAAGTTAGAAATAAAAAAATCCTCCTTAGTCTGCAATGAAAACTCAAACTGAGATGTATCACCGAGTTAAAGTGATAGATTTATTTTTGTGCGCATCGATGACATTGAACATTCCCCACTATGGGATGAATACAAGTTTTTCTTATAGTAGATGCTTAGGGTCAATACGTTTAATGAAGTATTCTATAAAGCTCGTCTGTTTTACACGGACAGTTACGACTGTTTGTGTAGAATAGTAGACAGAGTAATGATTCAAGCCACTGGGTTTTAAAAAGGAGATGACGGCCAGGTTTGCTGATGCAGTGCTGAGGCAAACTTCTCCAAACACTTTACTTTTGTTTTATGATGGAAAGCCTTCTTTAATTTTGCAACTTTTCTGCCTCATGAAAAAAAAGCCTCCCCCTCCATCATTTTTGTCTACAATCTTTAGCTAGTTAATTAGTAATTTCAAACAAAAGTTTTTTTTTTCTGGCAATTTAGATAAATCAAATTAGTCTTTGGTCTGGCTCTATAACAATTGTGATATTTTTCATGCTGGGGAATATTTCAGAATTTTCTTTTCCACATAAAAAAAAAACAAAAAACCAAAGGGACATGTTTTACCACTTTATTCAATTATTCTCATTTTGTATGCTTTTTTTCTTACTTTTTCATATTTCAAAACTTGAAGAAAGAATCTCATTCTGTTTAATGGACGGAGCTAACACAATCAATGATTCGTCTGTTAAAAAATGAAATACTTTTGGGTAAATGTACAACTATGAAGTAAATATTTCATTCCATATTAACACATTTCTATTTCTATTCTGCCACTACAGAGATTTGCCAGCCCTGACTAAAAATCATTTCATATCATTATTTATTTATACATCCATATTTCATGTCTTTTTTACTTAAAAATGAACCACATAAAACAAAAACACAACAGGAGTATAATAAAAAAGGAATATTCCCTCAAATAAAAAATGTGATAAGGTTGAAACTAAAGTGATATCTGAGCCCTAATCGGTGCAAAACATAAACTACGGCAATAGCAAAGATCCAAACATATTGTCTTGACCGTCTTCTTATCTTTTCTACTTTTCAATTACACAGGAAGTTTAAAATCTCTAACAAATTCTTCTCATTCCGAGCGTTTCCACCAAAGATCTCATTTATAGGAGAATTATCTGGTCATTATGGAACCCCATCAGCAGTTCATCTCTGCCCACCGTGATTAAACTCCATGGGGATTATATTATTTAATGCGGAGAATGAAGATGAGAAATAATACGCCATTATTATTAAATGTACTGAATGGAAAATGAGGAATTTCAATTGTGGGTTTCGTCACAGTCGGGTCTATAATGAGCTGAGTATTTAATTAAAAATGTCCTATTAACCATAACACACTTTTTTCATAATGGACCAAAAGGGCATAACGGCTCGTCTTCATCATAAATCTTTTTTTGGCAGAAAGCTGTTTTTTTTGGTCCCACATCGTGTACAATTAGCAACTTTTTGTTCATCCTGTACATTTTACAAGTAATCTGTTATTTCTATGTCAAACTATTGCCTTATTTGCAGGAAGCGCCAAATTTTCTCCAGATTTTTTCAAAAAACAACAGCTGTTTTATCTTTCATTTGTGCCAAAACGCCTGAGCACTTCTTCCCAATCATCAACGCAGATTGGTGTAAAATTGTCTGTGCAATCCAGACTTGGTTTTTAGTTAAAAAATCTCTATGTTTATAGTTTTTAAGCAGTACTAGCTTCTTTACTTCTTTGTCTTATTAAAGGGGCTTTGTATGTCTTCAATAAGTATACGTAAAATTCCGGGTTAGGTCTGTATATTGACAAAACAAAAAAACATGAAACTGTACCCTGAAATCTTTCTTTTTCACCCTGACACCAATAAAAAAATAAAAAATAAGAAAGATGTGAAACATTTCAACAACAAAAAATCAATGATTAAAAATGGCTTTTTTTGTCTTGTTGAGAACACACGTATTTTTATGGTTCTTTGGAAAGACAAGTCAGATTTTCAATAAAAAAAAAAAAATCTAAACTAATTCTTTTCTAATGAAGTTAAATATTTCAAGCGTTTGTTTGAATATTTTTTGTATCAGTGATGCAGCAAGTGAAGTTAAATCTAAGTATCCATTATGTACATTGTCAGACTGGCAAAAAACAACAAAAATATCCAAAATATTTTTCCGATAAGTTTACTATTTGAATCAGTTTATTTTGGAAGGATTGAAGACCCGTACTGAGTGATTCAATGTTCACGCCAAGGCTTATATTGGGTTTATTTTGTGCCCATTTAGTTTCAATATTCTGCTATAAGTCTATGAAGATTTGGATTCGGAAGGTTTTCAACTATTTTAAAATTCACTCTTCTCTCCGCTCTGCTACGACATCTTGACAGGCCGCTACTTTGGAATCGCTTTGAGCTCCTAAGTGCTCTAATATTAGCCCAGCTGCTTGATAAACACCAGTCGAATCATTTATCCCTGGACTTGGACTGCGCTTCGTAACCTGCCCGCCTGGCTCTGTCTCAAGGTTAGGGCTCCCGGGGGAGAAAGGAAGCGGAGATCGGGTTACACTAATGCATGATGTCGGCTGGAGGACATATTACGCACCCTCCGTACCCCCACTCACGCTCCCCTTGCACCCCCCCGCCCTCACCCGACCCCCCCTGTGAGCCTGTGAGATGATAGCCTTGTGCTGGTCCCCGACATGGCCTTGGTCTTGTTTGCTTGTGCCTCCCTAACCCCGGATCACCGTGCCAAAACCGCATGTCGCAACAATAAGCACACACAGGCTTCGAGGTCATAGCTCTTATTGCCAACGACTTTGAAGAGTAAGCTAGTTTTAAAATATTTCTCGACATATATGTATTTGTGGTTTGGGTGTGTGTGTGTGTTTTTATGTATCTATACGTGTATGTATTTGTGTATTTGTCTATGTATTTATACGTCTATGTATGTGCGTGTATTTGATGTATGCATGTGTATAAATGTACATGCATGTGTGTTTGTAGATGCGTTTATATTAGGTTTTTAAATATCTTATGCACAGTTGTTCAGGCCACACATGACTTAGTACATGAAATACCTGAAATACCTTGATCAGCCGTTTATTTTCTGCCCCGATGAAGACCTAAGTGGTCGAAACGCTTTGGTGTCAATTAAAGATTTTTACTTTAAAGTCAGTGGTGTCTCTTTTTTCCATTTCTTAATTGAGCTTTTTGCATTTTGGATCCTGAAGAGCTCCTGACTCGCATACCCAGCCCACTGCAGCGCTCTCTCTCCCTCTTATCTAACATTGAAAAGTTATCAGGCCCTGACAAAGCACTTTAAAGCTGGGGTACCTAAATTCAATCGTTGTTTCATAGAGTATATACAGTCTGTTTCTTGTTTGTTGTTTGAGTGAGACGACAACAAACCGCCTTCATCTTATGAGAGAACATTATTATCTTTTGCATACAGGGGAAAATGTATGTATTCGTGAAATCCAACTTAAAATATCAAACTGATATTTATGATGAAGACTGATTACATGCAAAGTGACATGTCGAGTCTTTGTTGGGTACCCTTTTGAACCACCGGTATATTCTAAGTTTCCAAGTATTATCCGTGTACTATTGGGAGCTGACTGGCTGAGTGACATGCAGGGATCCTCTCTTTTCCACTTTTCTGTCAGAAAAAGCTTATCCAAAGATGTCTTAAAGGACAAAATGCATGTGAAAACTTGTGATAGAATCAAACAGTTTGAAAAGTAAGGAACTAGTTACCATATGGATTTTAAATAATTTTGCATAGTTTCAAAATTGAGGTACTCTAGCTTTAATGGTTGCTCTTCAACTTTTGTATTTATGTATATATTATTATATATATATATATTTTTTTCATGTATTTATTCACTTATTTGACAGGGACATTGTAAGCTTGCAAGTCAGCATAGAATAAAACAAGCTTGTAACTGATGCGATGCAAAAAGAGTTTATAGCTGTTGCTAATTTTGGTAACACTTTACATTACGGGCCGGTAAGTCCATGGTACTTACAGTGGTACTTCTAGGTACTTACAGTGGTACTTCTAGGTACTTACAGTGGTACTTACGGTGGTACTTACGGTGGTACTTACGGTGGTACTTACGGTGGTACTTACGGTGGTACTTACGGTGGTACTTACGGTGGTACTTACAGTGGTACTTACAGTGGTACTTCTAGGTACTTACAGTGGTACTTCTAGGTACTTACGGTGGTACTTACGGTGGTACTTACGGTGGTACTTACAGTGGTACTTACAGTGGTACTTACGGTGGTACTTACGGTGGTACTTACGGTGGTACTTACGGTGGTACTTACAGTGGTACTTACAGTGGTACTTACGGTGGTACTTACGGTGGTACTTACGGTGGTACTTACGGTGGTACTTACGGTGGTACTTACAGTGGTACTTACAGTGGTACTTACGGTGGTACTTATGGTGGTACTTACGGTGGTACTTACGGTGGTACTTACAGTGGTACTTACAGTGGTACTTACAGTGGTACTTCTAGGTACTTACAGTGGTACTTCTAGGTACTTACGGTGGTACTTACGGTGGTACTTACAGTGGTACTTACGGTGGTACTTACGGTGGTACTTACGGTGGTACTTACGGTGGTACTTACGGTGGTACTTACAGTGGTACTTACGGTGGTACTTACGGTGGTACTTACGGTGGTACTTACGGTGGTACTTACGGTGGTACTTACGGTGGTACTTACGGTGGTACTTACAGGGGTACTTACGGTGGTACTTACGGTGGTACTTACGGTGGTACTTACAGTGGTACTTACAGTGGTACTTACAGTGGTACTTACAGTGGTACTTCTAGGTACTTCTAGGTACTTATTGTGGTACTTACAGTGGTACTTCTAGGTACTTACAGTGGTACTTAGAGGTACTTATTGTGGTACTTACAGTGGTACTTCTAGGTACTTATTGTGATAATTCTAGATACAGCTGTAACTTAGTAATTCAAGGACACTACAGTATTATTCCTATGTAGTAAATGTGGTACTTCTACATACATACATACAGAGGTCATTTGTAGGATTGTTTGACTATAAAACATAAAACAACATTATGTAAAACAAACGTCTTTATTAATATGGAATAAGTAGCACAGAAAGGACAGTATAAATACATTTAATGCATATTTCAAAACAAGTTTCAAGGACAAGGGAAACACTGCAAGAACTAGGTACCCAACCCAAGTAACAAGAATTACACATTACCAGGTACTTACCAGCCAAGTACCAGGTACTTACCAGCAAGTACCAGGTACTTACCAGCAAGTACCAGGTACTTAACAGCAAGTACCAGGTACTTAACAGCAAGTACCAGGTACTTACCATAGGGACTGGCCCATAATAAGACAAAGGACTTTAACATAAGTACCAGTGATAACACCAGTAATTATACAGTAAGTACCAGGTACTTACCATAGGGACTGGCCCATAATAAGACAAAGGACTTTAACATAAGTACCAGTGATAACACCAGTAATTATATAGTAAGTACCAGGTACTTACCATAGGAACTGGCCCATAATAAGACAAAGGACTTACCCATAAGTACTAGTGATACCAGTAATTATATAGTATACCATGTACTTACCAGCAAGTACCATGTACTTACCAGCAAGTACCAGGTACTTACCATAGGGACTGGCCCATAATAAGACAAAGGACTTTAACATAAGTACCAGTGATAACACCAGTAATTATACAGTAAGTACCAGGTACTTACCATAGGGACTGGCCCATAATAAGACAAAGGACTTTAACATAAGTACCAGTGATAACACCAGTAATTATATAGTAAGTACCAGGTACTTACCATAGGAACTGGCCCATAATAAGACAAAGGACTTACCCATAAGTACTAGTGATACCAGTAATTATATAGTATACCATGTACTTACCAGCAAGTACCAGGTACTTACCAGCAAGTACCAGGTACTTACCAGCAAGTACCAGGTACTTACCAGCAAGTACCAGGTACTTACCAGCAAGTACCAGGTACTTAACAGCAAGTACCAGGTACTTACCAGCAAGTACCAGGTACTTGCTGGTAAGTACATGGTATACTATATAATTACTGGTATCACTAGTACTTATGGGTAAGTCCTTTGTCTTATTATGGGCCAGTTCCTATGGTAAGTACCTGGTACTTACTATATAATTACTGGTGATATCACTGGTACTTATGTTAAAGTCCTTTGTCTTATTATGGGCCAGTCCCTATGGTAAGTACCTGGTACTTACTGTATAATTACTGGTGTTATCACTGGTACTTATGTTAAAGTCCTTTGTCTTATTATGGGCCAGTCCCTATGGTAAGTACCTGGTACTTGCTGGTAAGTACCTGGTACTTGCTGTTAAGTACCTGGTACTTGCTGGTAAGTACCTGGTACTTGCTGGTAAGTACCTGGTACTTGCTGTTAAGTACCTGGTACTTGCTGTTAAGTACCTGGTACTTGCTGGTAAGTACCTGGTACTTGGCTGGTAAGTACCTGGTACTTGCTGGTAAGTACCTGGTACTTGCTGGTAAGTACCTGGTACTTGGCTGGTAAGTACCTGGTACTTGCTGGTAAGTACCTGGTACTTGCTGGTAAGTACATGGTACTTGCTGGTAAGTACATGGTATACTATATAATTACTGGTATCACTAGTACTTATGGGTAAGTCCTTTGTCTTATTATGGGCCAGTTCCTATGGTAAGTACCTGGTACTTACTATATAATTACTGGTGTTATCACTGGTACTTATGTTAAAGTCCTTTGTCTTATTATGGGCCAGTCCCTATGGTAAGTACCTGGTACTCACTGTATAATTACTGGTGTTATCACTGGTACTTATGTTAAAGTCCTTTGTCTTATTATGGGCCAGTCCCTATGGTAAGTACCTGGTACTTGCTGGTAAGTACATGGTATACTATATAATTACTGGTATCACTAGTACTTATGGGTAAGTCCTTTTTCTTATTATGGGCCAGTTCCTATGGTAAGTACCTGGTACTTACTATATAATTACTGGTGTTATCACTGGTACTTATGTTAAAGTCCTTTGTCTTATTATGGGCCAGTCCCTATGGTAAGTACCTGGTACTTACTGTATAATTACTGGTGTTATCACTGGTACTTATGTTAAAGTCCTTTGTCTTATTATGGGCCAGTCCCTATGGTAAGTACCTGGTACTTGCTGTTAAGTACCTGGTACTTGCTGTTAAGTACCTGGTACTTGCTGGTAAGTACCTGGTACTTGCTGGTAAGTACCTGGTACTTGGCTGGTAAGTACCTGGTAATGTGTAATTCTTGTTACTTGGGTTGGGTACCTAGTTCTTGCAGTGTTTCCCTTGTCCTTGAAACTTGTTTTGAAATATGCATTAAATGTATTTATACTGTCCTTTCTGTGCTACTTATTCCATATTAATAAAGACGTTTGTTTTACATAATGTTGTTTTATGTTTTATAGTCAAACAATCCTACAAATGACCTCTGTATGTATGTATGTAGAAGTACCACATTTACTACATAGGAATAATGCTGTAGTATCCTTGAATTACTAAGTTACAGCTGTATCTAGAATTATCACAATAAGTACCTAGAAGTACCACTGTAAGTACCACAATAAGTACCTCTAAGTACCACTGTAAGTACCTAGAAGTACCACTGTAAGTACCACAATAAGTACCTAGAAGTACCACTAGAAGTACCACTGTAAGTACCTAGAAGTACCACTGTAAGTACCACTGTAAGTACCACTGTAAGTACCACTGTAAGTACCACCGTAAGTACCACCGTAAGTACCCCTGTAAGTACCACCGTAAGTACCACCGTAAGTACCACCGTAAGTACCACCGTAAGTACCACCGTAAGTACCACCGTAAGTACCACCGTAAGTACCACCGTAAGTACCACCAAGTACCACCGTAAGTACCACCGTAAGTACCACCGTAAGTACCACCGTAAGTACCACCGTAAGTACCTAGAAGTACCACTGTAAGTACCTAGAAGTACCACTGTAAGTACCACTGTAAGTACCACTGTAAGTACCACCGTAAGTACCACCGTAAGTACCACCGTAAGTACCACCGTAAGTACCACCGTAAGTACCACCGTAAGTACCACCGTAAGTACCACTGTAAGTACCTAGAAGTACCACTGTAAGTACCTAGAAGTACCACTGTAAGTACCATGGACTTACCGGCCCGTAATGTAAAGTGTTACCCAATCTTCAAGTCCAGTCCCTGGTTCGGCCTTTCTACACTACATTAACAATTCCAATATTATCTAAAAAACTTACCTATATTGCACTGTTTAAATCATTCACACACACAAACTCAGTGCTATTTACACATTTACAAATGGGTACAATTCTGTTTCCATGTGTAATGTATTGATTTGTTTCTTATGTACCTAACTTGATATGGTTCTCTCTACTGCACACTGAATACTTTTAAACAAGCATTCCCGTGATGGTTTTAAATTGAAAATGGCAAATAAACTGAACCCTAGTCATCATCAACAAGCGAGTTTATAAGCAATGTCTGAAGACCGCAAGAAAAATCTCTCAGGGACAAGCATTTACTGGGGATTTCTCTATAATCTGCATATAAAATAACACTTTTCTCCTCTTATTTAAAGCTTCACTGTCTCCTTCTACATGCCTGAATAGTCTATGAGCCTTAAACATTTATTGTGGATGGGGACACTTTTGGTATTAGTTAGATTTGAATTCATCCATCCATCCATCTTCTACCCTTTAATCCATTTCTGGGTCAGGGGGGTGGCAGTCAGAGATGCCACCCAAGTCTCATAGCACCAGCCCCTCACTGACCCTCTGCAGGTGGTGAGTCCACAGGAGGACGGCTGCTCTCTGACTGTGAGCATAGCCTTGATCTTTCAGTGGGGGCTTTTGGGCAAAGTGGGGTTAAGTGTCTTGCCCAAGGACACAACGACAGCAGTCATCAGTAGGAGTCGGTGGAGAAGGTGCAGAGGTGGGAATTGAACCCACGACCTTCTGGGCTTAAGGCCAATGCTCTACCAACTGAGCTACTGTCGCCCTAGATTTGAATTGTGTGTCATGAATAGAAATCGTCAGGGTCAACATTTGTGGATTTTCTTGCTGATGGCACATATAAGAAAGTCAATGATCTAATTCCAGCCTATTTGATTCTAGTCATGAATATTTCACAGTGTTTTCTCGGTGGAACTCATTATTACGGATTGGATTTGTATTGATTTATGCTAATTTGGCAAACGTTGGTTAAGCTAGCCTCGTACAATCTTCAGCAAGCCGATTTTACTTCATAGCCTTACCTAAATTTTGGATGAAAAGCATTGGATTTTGGGAATCTACATTGTCCCACGCTTATAATCACCCACGTTGGATGCTGTTGATAAATACAGCCCACACTTGTCAAAAGTGATGGATTTTTGGCAAACGTTATTTCAAATTTGACTCACAAACAGCAGGGAACAGTTTTAGGGCGCAATTAAAAGAAATCAACAACATCCCACATTTGAATCCTACAACAAAAAGTCTGGTTTTAAAATGTTTACTTTGGCTTTTTTCCTGTGTAGTCCAGCAATTAGTGATCAATTAAATTCAAAGCGCTTACAGCCAAATACTGAACATACAAAATACATGAAAAATAACAGCATGGCAACTTTCCATGTTGCTTGGAAATCACAATATCTATTTTAAAGGGATACATTGTAACACGCAAGAGGATGTCCTACTCCTCTCAGTTTGATTCATATTTGTATCGACCAAAATCCCAAC